ACAATACATTGCTGAAGGATATACACATTATCTGATAAAATTATTTTTGAAAAGACATGTTAATAACACAAAATTCAGGATAGTAGTCACCTCTGGAGGTGAGTATGTGCAATACTGGTAATTTCAATTTGTGGGCTGAGTGGTAGTCTCATTTTATTGCTTTACATACAGTTACATATATCTTGTATGTATCAAATATTACATTAAAATAAAAGAAAAGATTAAGATAAGCCATTCATCATATTAAAAATTTTTAATTAAATCACCTCACTGGACACTAGAAAGGTACCTATACCATAGAAATTACTATCTTTACATCAACCATAGGAACTGATACACACTAGGTACATGATGTTTATTAACCTTGTGAGGATCAAATGAGATAAAAACTGAGCCAGTTAGCTGTGGGAGATGAACCAGCAGACAGACAGACAGGACTAGGGAAGAAGACAGTGTGGCTCCAAGCAACAAGCTAAAGTTACAGAGAAAGCAAAAATGTAGAAGTCTGGGAGCATAAAAGTGTTAGCAAGAATGTAAGGAGATGGGTGTTCTCACTCAATACAAGTGAGAGTGAAAATTGGTACAACCACTTGGAGAGCTCTGTAATATCCACATATCTTACTATCAAGCAAATCTACTACTAGGTGTATTTCCCAGAGAAACTTTCAAACGTGTGTACAAGCAGACAGGTAGGCGCAAAAATGTTTATTTATTGCAGGAGTGTTCTAAGAGTAAAAAGCTGGGAAACAACATGAAAGTCCATCAATAGGTAAATGCATAAATAAATTATGGTACAGTCATACAATGGAATTCTATACCAGCAATTTAAATGAATGAGCAAGAGACAACACAATTATCCGATTTATTCATACATAAATCTCAAAATGTGATGCAGAGCAAAAACAGCAAGTTGCAAAAAAGGTACATGTAGTTTAGTACCACTATGTAAAGTTTAAAAACACACACCATTATATACTGTTTATGGATTCACTGTGATCAAAGAACAAAATATGCAAGGGAATCATAAACACAAACCTGAACACAGTGGCTATCTCCAGGAAAGGAGAGGGAGGAATGGGAAGCACCCCAATATGTGCAACATTTCATTTCTTTAAAAACAAAAGATCTGAAGTAAATCTGGCAAAATATTTGCCATCTGTAAAATCTGAATCATAGATTGTGGTTAGATTCCCCCTCTGTATTTTACGTGTGAAATAGTCCAGAAATTAAAAAGAAAAATTAGCCAAGAGTAAGAAAATGGAGCAGATGGAGAGAAAAAGACACCAAAACGCAGCTCTTGAGCGCAGAGCACACAGCCCTTGAGCAAGAGTAAGCAGTTCAGTCGCTGATGGGCTTAACTTTTCTGTCCTTGTGTATTCTTACAATGAACTCCGTTTTCCTTAAGATAAAACGCAAATCCCTTGCAATCAAAAATGTCCTAACCAAGGCAAAAAACCTAACCAGAGCAATTGTGAGGACACTGCGCCCAAGGGAGGAGTAAAATTTATCAGATTTCTACTTTGCTTCCCTCTCCAGGATGTTGGGCAGAACCACGAGAGATGATTTATGCGAACGCCATAAAGCCCTAAGTAAACCGCTAGCTGTTGTCAAGAACGCTCAGGGTTGGCTACAAGGTATTTGCCCTGTTGACGCAGGCCTGGATTGTGGGAGGGGTTTACAATTTGAAGAACTTTTAGTGACTAGGGCTCCTCTGGAAACGCCCGCCGCAGTGGTACTAGCCCAAATTCACCCATGCCTTGCTGGGTTCTGCTCCCCCACCCCCACCCCCATTCTATTCCAGGGAGAAGCTGGCTCGACAGGCCACACTAAACTCTGCAAACACTACGGAGCCGCTGGTCCGAACCACTCCGGTCCTCCCGGTTAGTCTTGGGGGTGGGGGTGCGGGGAGACTCCTTCCCCTGGTCCATTCCTTGGGGGAGGGGCGAGGGCAGCACTCAGCTACCAGTTCTTACAAAAACAAGTGGCGGACTACTTCGCGTACACACAGAGGACGCGCGTGCACGAACATTCCCAAACCTTCGCAAACGAAAACTCGCACACGCGCGGCGCACACTCGGGCTGAGGTCGCTCCGGGGGGGGGCGGGTCGCGACGCAGAAGGCGCGGCCACGCGCACGGGGGGACGCGCACCCCCGGAAAGGTACAATGACACAAAGAGGGGCCACCCACAGAGGCCAGGAAAGGAGGGGGTGTCCACACAGACAGTCCGGAGGAGACGCACGGGGGCGTGCCCACGCGCTGGCTAGGGGGCCACCTCATGCAACAGTGGTGTCACCTACAAACGGAGACGAGGCGCGCGCGGACAGCAGGGGGATGTGCACACAAAAAGAACACTCCCACCCTCGCGCAGACACCCAGAAGGGCACCTGCTTGCAGAAAGGGGTCACCAGGCAAAGGAGACACACCCCGTGAGGGCTCCCCGGCCCACGCAGACACACAGCGGTCACCACAGCAAGGAACACCGGGCAACGAGCCCACACCCATGCAGGGGCTGTGGAGGACAAGGCCCCCTCTCCCCAGGAGTCTCCGCTGCAGCGGGACAAAATGACCTGCCGCGCACCAGGGGTGCACTTACCGGGGCCCGCAGTCCGCGAACCTCGGACGCGGGCAGCAGCGCCGCGGCAGCCGCAGCTGCGAAACCTCCACGTCAGCCGGGCGGGGGCGGTAGGCGGATTTGTCACGTGGGATAGAAACACACATGCGCAGTCGGCCGGCCCGCCCCCTCCCTCCGCGGCCGCGAGCAGAGCTAGCCGGCCTGCCCCGCCCTTGTGTCCTTCCTCCGCGCGCTCGTTGCGAGGGTCGTGGTGTATGCGTGCGCCTGGGCGGGGGCGGGGAGGGGGAACGTTGTCGCTGTTTTCCACTTTTCCTTGCTCGCTCGTCTGCAGTTCCTTAGTCGGCGGTTGCGCAGAGGACTCAGCGCTGAGGTGGCCGAGTTTGGGAAAGGAGCCCGGGTGGGCGCATGAAGGGCTCCTGGTCGAGGGCAAACCCCACCCAGCCTTTGAACGAATGAGAAGCCCCAAGAGAGGGCAGGGCCCAGACCTGGGGGGACCGCGCGCCCGCGGCGTGAAAGCCCCGCGTCTAGGTCGGCGCCTCGCCGGCCTCACTCTCTGTTCTTCCCTCCCCTTCCCCCACGCAGGCGAAGCTTGCGGGGCTGGAGCGGCATTTGTGCCTCGCCTGTTCGTGCCCTCCCCAGCAGGTGTGAGCGCGTGCACGCGGGCGTGGGGTGGGGTGTGCGCAGGATGGCAGTTTGCAGTGGTTTCCGCTGAAATAAACCCCTGTGGGGGTTCTGCCCATAGCAAAGGGATGAGGTTATAATAGACCAGTGGTGAGGGGATGTAAATCATTGACGAATTGTTGTTTCTTTTCCACAGATTGTCTAAAGCCACAGGGAAAAAATGGTGGAAAATTCACCGTCGCCATTGCCAGAAAGAGCGATTTATGGCTTTGTACTTTTTTTAAGCTCCCAATTTGGCTTCAGTAAGTATATTCCTGATGGATGACTAGGAGCCGTTTCTGGGTGTTCCAGGACAAGGAAACATTGCATTGGTTCTTAGAATGAATACACGAGTCATGATTCTTTATAGCAATGTCTCTTCTTAAGGGAACTCGTTGTTCAAGGTGTTTTATATGCCGGACGCTAGCCTAAGAGCTTTGATTTCAACAGATACATTTAGACAGCACCAGACATCATGGCAAAGTGAATAAAATCTGGTTCTTGCCCTTAAGGAGGTCAAGGTCTTGTGGACCAGGTAGACAATAAATCTACAACTAATGCTCAGTGTGATAAGTGTAATGGGAGCCCAGTGGAG